TTTTTCTTAAAAAAATCATCCATGCTAACTAGAAAATTTTACTAAATAAAATGAGAATATATCATCCATAATCAATGACCATTTCTTCTCAGTAATTTTTTCTAAACATTTTTTGTATAAGTAACATTATAATGAATAGATGATTTTATATTGTGACTTTTCACTAAAAATGACAAAATTTAACATCTATGATATTTAAAAATTGTTTTTTGTTTGTAATTTTTGTGAGTACATACTAGATGCGTATATATGTATATATATATATATATTTCTGGGCTACATGAGCATGAGATATTTTGACACAGGCATGCAATTCATAATAATCACATCAGGACAAATGGGTATCCATCACCTTAATTAAATTATATACTCTTTTGGCTATTTTTAAATGTACAACTGAATTATTATTGATTATAGTCACCCTGTTGTGCTAGTAAATAGTAGGTCTTATGCATTTTTTTTCTTTATTTTTTTAATTGTACTTTGGGCTCTGGGGCACATGTGCACATCCTGCATCCTGTAGGATTGTTGCATAGGTACATACATGCCATGGTGGTTTGCTGTATCCATCCCCAACCCCCAACCCCCACCTGTCGACTACATCAGGCATTTCTCCCAGTGTTATCCCTCCCCATCCTCCCTGCAAGCCTGTCCCTCCCTTCCCCTCCCCTGTACCCCCACCTAGTCCAGTGAATGTTGTTCCCTTCCCTGTGCCCAAGTGTTCTCATTGTTCATCACCTGCCTATGAGCAAAAACATGCTGTGTTTGGTTTTCTGTTCTTGTGTCAGTTTGCTGAGAATGATGGTTTCTAGATACATCCATGTCTCTACAAAGGACACGAACTCATCGTTTGTTATGGCTGCATAGTATTCCATGGTGTATATGTGCCACATTTTCTTTGTCCAGTCTATCATTGATGTGCATTTGGGTTGGTTCCAGGTCTTTGCTATCATAAACAGCACTGCAACAAACATACGTGTTCATGTGTCTTTATAATAGAACAATTTATAATTCTTTGGGTATATACCCAGTAATGGGATTGCCACACAGTCTTCCACAATGGTTGAACTAATTTACACTCCCACAAACAGTGTAAAAGTGTTCCTTTTTCTCCACATCCTCTCCAGCATCTATTGTCTCCAGATTTTTTAATGATTGCTATTCTAACTGGACTGAGATGTATCTCAATGTAGTTTTGATTTGCATTTCTCTAATGACCATTGATGTTGAGCATTTTTTTTATATGTTTGCTGGCTGCATAAATGTCTTCTTTTGAAAAGTGTCTGTTCATATCCTTTGCCCACTTTTGAATGGGTTTGTTTGTTTTTTTTCCTGTAAATCTGCTTTAGTTCTTTGTAGATTCTGGATATTAGCCTTTGTCAGGTAGTATGTCTTATTAGCAATAACATTATTGCTAATATTGTTAGATTGCAAACATTTTTTCCAATCTAACAATATTAGCAATATTAACATTATTACTAATATTATAGATTGCAAAAGTTTTTTCCCATTCTGTTGGTTGCCGGTTTACTCTAATGATTGGTTTTTTTTTTGTTTTTTTTTGTTTGTTTGTTTGTTTTTTTGCTGTGCAGAAGCTCTTAAGTTTAATTAGATCTCATTTGTCTATTTTGGCTTTTGTTGCTGTTGCTTTTGGTGTTTTAGTCATGAAGTCCTTGCCTATGCCTATGTCCTGAATGGTTTTGCCTAGGGTTTCTACTAGGGTTTTTATGGTGTTAGTTCTTATGTTTAAATCTTTAATCCATCTGGAGTTAATTTTTGTATAAGGTATAAGGAAGGGGTCTAGTTTCAGCTTCCTGCATATGTCTAGCCAGTTTTCTCAACACCATTTATTAAACAGGGAATCCTTTCTCCACTGCTTGTTTTTGTCAGGTTTGTCAAAGATCAGATGGTTGTGGATGTGTGGCATTGCTTTTGAGGCCTCTGTTTTGTTCCATTGGTCTATATCTCTGTTTTGGTACGAGTACCATGCTGTTTTGATTATTGTAGCCTTGTAGTATAGTTTCAAACCAGGTAGTGTGATGCCTCCAGCTTTGTTCTTTTTGCTTAGGATTGTCTTGGCTATGCGGGCTCTGTTTTGGTTCCATATGAAGTTTAAAGTGTTTTTTTCCAGTTCTGTGAAGAAGGTCAATGGTAGCTTGATGGGGATAGCATTGAATCTATAAATTTATTTTGGGCAGAATGGCCATTTTCATAATATTGATTCTTCCTACCCATGAGCATGGAATGTTTTTCCATTTGTTTGTGTCCTCTCTTATTTCATTTAGGAGTGGTTTGTAGTTCTCCTTGAAGAAATCTTTTACCTCCTTTGCTAGTTGTATTCCTAGGTATTTTATTCTCTTTGTAGCAATTGTAAATGGGAGTTTGCTCATGATTTGGCTCTCTGTTTGTCTGTTGTTGGTGTATAGGAATGCTTGTGATTTGTGCACATTGATTTTGTATCCTGAGACTTTGCCGAAGTTGCTTATCAGCTTAAGGAGGTTTTGGGCTGAGACAATGGGGTCTTCTAAATATAAGATCACGTCATCTGCAAATAGGGACACTTTGACTTCTTCTTTTCCTAATTGAATGCCCTTTATTTCTTTTTCTTGCCTAGTTGCTCTGGCCAGAACTTCCAATAGTATATTGAATAGGAGTGGTGAGAGAGGGCATCCTTGTCTAGTGCCAGTTTTTAAAGGAAATACTTCTAGTTTTTGCCCGTTCTGTATGATATTGGCTGTGAGTTTGTCACAAATAGCTTTTATTGTTTTGAGATACATTCCATTGATACCTAGTTTATTGAGAGTTTTTAGCATAAAGGGCTGTTGAATTTTGTTGAAGGCCTTCTCTGCATCTATTGAGATAATCATGTGGTTTTTGTCTTTGGTTCTTTTTATGTGGTGGATTACGTTTATAGACTTGCATATGTTGAACCAGCCTTGCATCCCCAGGATGAAGTCAACTTGATCGTGGTGGATAAGCTTTTTGATGTGCTGTTGGATTTGGTTTGCCAGTATTTTAATAAGAATTTTCACATTAATGTTCATCATGGATATTGGCCTATAGTTTTCTTTTTTAATTGGATCTCTTCCAGCTTTTGGTATCAGGATGATGTTGGTCTCATAGAAAGAATTAGGGAGGATTCCCTATTTTTGTATTGTTTGGAACAGTTTCAACAGGAATGGTACCAGCACCTCTTTGTACATCTGGTGGAATTTGGCTACGAACCCGTATGGGCCTGGACTTCTTTTTGGTTGGTAGGCTATTAATTGCTGCCTTGACCTCAGACCTTCTTATTGGTTTATTCAGGGTTTCAACTTCTTCCTGGCTTAGTTTTGGGAGTGTGCAAGTGTCCAGGAATTTATCCATTTCTTCCAAGTTTACTGGTTTATGTGCATAGAGCTGTTTGTAGTAATTTCTAATGGTAGTTTGTATTTCTGAGGAATCAGTGGTGATCTCCCCTTTATCATTTTTTATTGCATCTATTCGTTTCTTCTCTCTTTTCTTTTTTATTAGTCTAGCTAGCAGTCTGTCTATTTTGTTGATCTTTTCAAAAAACCGGCTCCTGGATGTATTCATTTTTTGGAGGGTTTTTTGTGTCTCTATCTCCTTCAGTTCTGCTCTGATCTTAGTTATTTCTTATCTTCTGCTTGCTTTTGAGGTTTTTTTTGGTCTTTTTCATTCTATCTATTTTTTTGTACACATTAACTATTCCCACTTTCCCTCCACTACCCTTCTCAACCTTTGGAAACCATCATTCTACTCTCTATCTCTAAGTGGTCACTTTAATTTTTAGCTCCCACATATAAGTGAGAACATGTGAAGTTTGTCTTTCTGTGTTTGTCTTATTTCACTTAACATTATGACCTCCAGTTTCATCCAAGTTGTTGCAAATGACAGGATCTCATTCTATTTTATGGCTGAATAGTACCCTGTTGTGTATATGTACATTTTCTTTATCCATTCATCTGGTGATGGACACTTCGACTGCTTCCAAATCGTGGCTATTTGAAATAGTGCTACAATAAACATGGGAGTGCAGATATCTCTTCGATGTGCTGATTTCCTTTCTCTTAGGTGTATAACCGGCAGTGAGTTTGATGGATCATATGGTAGCTCTATTTTTAGTTTTTTAAGGAACCTCCAAACTCTTCTCCATAGTGGTTGAACTGTTTACACTCTTACCAACAGTGTATGAGGGTTCCAATTTTCTCCATACCCTCACCAGCATTTGTTATCGCCTGACCTTTGGATAAAAGCCATTTTTATTGGGGTAAGCTTTCTCATTGTAGTTTGATTTGTATTTCTCTGATAATAATGTTGAACACCTTTTGCATATGCCTGATTACAATTTGTATGCCATCTTTTGAGAAACATCTATTCAGATCTTTGCCCTTTTTAAAATTGGATTATTGGATTTTTTTCCTATGGAGTTGTTTTAGCCCCTTATATATTCTGTTTATTAATTCCTTGTCAGATGAGTACTTTGCAAATATTTTCTCCCATTGTGTGGGTTGTCTCTTCACTTATTGATTGTTTCCTTTACTATGCAGAAGCATTTTAACTTGATGTGATCCCATTTGTCCATTTTGCTTTGGTTGCCTGTGCTTATGGTTTATTACTCAAGAAAGGTTTGCTCAGACCATTGTCCTAAAGAGTTTTCCAATGTTTTCTTGTAGTAGTTTCATTAATTGGGGTCTTAGATTTATCTAAGTCTTTACTCCATTTAGTTTTGATTTTTGTATATGGCAAGAAATAAGGGTCTAGTTTCATTCTTCTGTATATGAACATCCAGTTTTGCAAGTATGATTTAATGAAGAGACTATCTTTGCTTTCTTGATTTTCTGTCTGGAAGATCTGCCCAATGCTGAAAGTGGGAAGTCTCTAGCTGTTATTGTATTGGGGTTTATCTCTCTCTTCAGCTCTGATAATATTTGCTTTATATAGAGAGCTGCTCCAGTGTTTGGTGCATGTATATTCACAATTCATATGTTCTTTTGTTGAATTGGTCCCTTTATTATTATATATTGACCTTCTTTGTCTCTTCTCATAGTTTTAGTCTTGAAATCTATTTTGTGACATATAAGTATAGCTACCTGCTTTTGAGTTTCACTGGCATGAAATATCTTTTTCTATCTTTTTTTTTATTTTCAGCCTGTGTCTTCCTCAGAGAAGTGGTTTTCTTGTAGGCAACAGATCATTGGGTCTCCATTCAGCCACTCTGTCTTTTAATTGGAGAGTTTTGTCTATGTTTAATGTTATTGCTGATAAGTAAGGACTTACTCCTGCCATTCTGTTATTTGTGTTTTGTTGCTTTGTGGTCTTCTCTTCCTTCTTTCCTTCCTTCCTGTCTTCATTTTTATTGAAAGTAGCTTTCTCTGGCGGTATGATTTAATTACTTCCTTTTTGTTTTCTGTATATCGGTTCTATGTTTTTTGACATTAAACATGTCAAAAAACATAGTATGGCTTGCAAATGCTGTCTTATCACCCATTATTTTAGGTTGATAACACTGCATAAACAAACAAATAAGCAAAAAGAAAACTAATAAAAACTCTACACCCTAACTTTCTCCCTCCACTTTTTAACATTTTGTTGTTTCTCTTTATATCTTATTGTACTGTCTATGTCTTAAATATTTCTTGTAGTTATTTTTGATTGGTTCATCTTTTAGTGTTTCCACTTAAGAGTAGTTTACACACCACAGTTACAATGGCATAATAATCTGTGTTTTCCTGTGTACTTGCTATTTTAGTTGTTACTTACAGTGAGTTGTATACCTTCAGATGAATATTCTTATTGCTCATTAACATACTTATCTTTCTGATTGAAGTACTCCCATTAGCATTTATTCTAGAACAGTTCTGATGTTGATGAAATTCCTCAGCTTTTACTTGTCTGGGAAAGTTTTTATTTCTCCTTTATGTTTGAAGGATATGTTCACTGTATATACTATTGTAGGATAATAGGCTTTTTTTTTTCTCTCCAGCACTTTAAACATTACATGACACCCTCCCCTGGTTGGTAAGGATTCTGCTGAAGAGTCTGCTGCCAGAGGTAGTGGAGCTCCTCTTTGTATGTTATTTACTTCTTTTATCTTGCTGCTTTAGGATCCTTTCTTTATCCTTGATCTTTGAAAGTTTGATAATTAAATGCCTTGACATAGTCTTCTTTGGGTTAAATCTGTTTGCTGTTCTATAACCTTCTTGTACTTGGATATCAATATGTTTCCTAGGTTTAGAAAGTTCTCATTACTATTCCTTTGAATAAACTTTCTACTCCTACATCTTTCTCTACCTCCTCTTTAAGGCCAATAACTCTTAGATTTGCCCTTTTGAAACTATTTTCTAGACTTTGTTGGCATGCTTTTTAAAATTCTTTTTACTTTTGCCTCCTCTGACTGTGTACTTTCAAATAGCCTGTCTTCACACTATTTCTTTCTTCTGCTTGATGAATTCTGCTATTAGAAGATTCTGATGCATTCTTCATTATGCCAATTGCATTTTTGTACTCTGAAATTTCTGCGATTCTTTTTAATTCTTTCAAACTCTTTGTTACATTTATCTGATAGAATTCTGAATTCCTTCTTTGTGTTATCTTGAATGTCTTTGTGTTTCATCAAAACAGGTATTTTGAATTCTTTGTCTGAAAGGTCATGTATCTCTGTTTCTCCAGGATTGGTCCCTGGTGCTCTATTTAGTTCATTTGGTGATGTCATGTTTTCCTGAATGATCCTGATGCCTGTGGATGTTCCTTGAAGTCTATGCATTGAAGAGTTAGGTATTTATTTTATTCTTTGCAGTCTGGGTTTATTTGTACCCATACTCCTTGGGAAGGCTTTCCAGATATTGAAAAGCACTTTGGTATTGTGATCTAAGCTATATCTGCATTAGGGAGCACCCTTAGTCCAGTAACACTGTGCTTCTTGCAGACTCATAGAGGGACCACCTTGATGGTCTTGGATAAGATCCAGAAGATTCATCTGGATTACCAGGGATAGACTCTTGTTCCCTTCTCTTACTTTCTCCCAAACATACAGAGTTTCTCTCTCTCTTTGTGCTAAGCTGCCTGGAGCTGAAAGCAGGGTGACACAACACCAAGATTGGGACTGCACTGGGTTAGACTTGAAGACACCACAGCATTATGTTCCACCCAAGGCCTGCTTTAACCACAACCTGCCTATCACCTATGTTCACTCAAGGCCCTTGAGAATCTACAATCATTAGATTGTGAAACCAGTCATAATTGTGTCCTTCCTTTCCAGGCAGCAAGTTCCCTTCGGCTCTGGGCAGGGCTGGAATAAAAAAAAACCTTAGAAATCTGCCTGGTGTTCTCTCCTACTATGGCTGCCATGGCACTCAAACCATGAGACACAGTCTTTCCAATTATTCTGTCCCCTTTCTACAATCAGAGGAACCTCAACCCACGGCCATCACCACTACAGGTCCATAGGAAGTACTGCCATGCTACTGATAATGTTAACTTGAGGCCCAAGGGCTCTTTAATCAGCTTGTGGTGAATGCTGCCAGGCCTGGGCCTCACCCTTCAGGGCAGTGGGCGGCCTAGAATTGGGAACCTCAAGCTCTTGCTCAGTGCTCTACCTCACTGTAGTCAAGCTGGTACCTAAGATATAAGAAAAGTACCCTTTACTTTTCCCTCTGCTTTTCTCATGCAGAAGGAGTATCTCACCATAGCTACCACACCTGGAAATGTGCTGGGTCTTACCTGAACTCAGTACATCTCAGTCTCATCCAAGGCTCATGGCATACTACCTGGGTATCACTGGTGGTTATTCAGGGCCAAACATCTCCTTAGTCAGAAAATAATTGCTCCTGCCATGACTGGGTCCTTCCCTTCAAAGTAGTGGGTTTCCTTCTGGCCCAGGTTATGTCTGGGAATGTTGTCCAGGAGCTGGGACCTGGAATGGGGGCCTCACGACTCTTACTAATGTCCTATTCTACTGTGGCTGAGCTGGCATTCAAGATACAAGACAAAATCCTCTCTTCTCTCTCCTCTTATCAAGTGGAAGGAAGGGGTTTGTTTTTGAGCCACAAGCTTTGCAGCCTGGGGTTGCGGAGGGATGGTATAAGCACTCCCTTATCCTCCCCAGCTGGTGTCTCAGCAGGTTATGTGCCCCTTAAGTCCACTGGCTCTGAGCTCAACTCAGTGCTAAGACTCACCTAGGAGTTGCAGTCTGTGACCTAGACTGCCTTTCACATTTAAGAACACTGTCCAATGGTGGCAAGTCTTGCTGGAACTCAAGTTCTGACTGCTGGGATGTGTGATTCCACTCTAGCTTGGGCTAGTCTATATGCTTCCTCCATGGGCAGGCATCATCTGAGTTTAGCATGGTTTCATTTTTAGTTGTGACAGGGCAGTACTGAATTCAATGCAAAGTCTCACAATTACTGCCCTCTGCCTCTACCAAGCATAAAGATTCTTTCTCCATGTCACGCAGCTACTGCCAAGGGATGAGGGATAGGTGAAAGTGGTGATTCACGACTGTCTTTTCTATCCTTTTCAGTGCCTCTTTCAGTAATATAAAGTTAAATCTAAGTACTATGAGTGCTCACCTGATTTTTGGTTCTTATGAAGGTATTTTTTAATGTAGATAGTTGTTAAATTTGGTGTTCTTGCATGGGGGACACTTGGTAGAGCATTCTATTTGGCCATCTTGCTCCACCCTCCAATTTCTATTTCATGAATGCATCATAATTTACTTAATAAATCCCCTACTGTTGCCTATTTTTAATTTTCTCTATTATATATTTTTCTGATGACCATTACCATGTAATAATTTTCCCTATATTTTTGAATAATTTTCTGACAAGATATTTCTGAGAGAGGCATTGCTAAGAATAAAAGCATGAACATTTAAGGAATAAAAATGTAAAAATACAATAAAAATATAAACACATGTAAATATTCACACGTCACTAAATTGCTTCCTAAGAAAGTCATGATGTCAATTTCTACTGTCATTGGAAGGCAACATATGTATTGAAATAAGATCTGTTGATTGGAATGCTCCACCACATTAAATTGTGAGTTATCTTGGCTGTGAGGGAAAGCTGAATGAACTAAAAGGTTCCTCCCAACTACAAGAGTCACTGATTAGAAATGACTAAATGGCTTTCAGAGAACTGGCTATTCAATAATGACTTCCTTATGAAGTTGGAGCCTCAGTTCACTTCAGTCACTGTCCTAGCTGCTGAGAATGAAATCCCCGTTTTTAAAGAGCTTATAGTCTAGTGGTGAGAACGTTATCTAAATAGTGAATTTCAATATAATGGTAAATAATAATATCTGGGGCATTTCTAGGGTGTTATGGGATCTCAGAGGAGAGACCCTTAAGCAAAGAAAGATGGGGAAAATATTGTAGACAGGGGAATCAGCATTATCAAAGTATTGGTGAAAGGCATACATCATATGTATTGTGTGTATGTGTCTACAAGCTACTTAGTTTTATTTAAGGATAAAGTATGAAATAAAATATGCTAGACACTTAATAGGATAGGCAGAAGCTAGGTCATAGGGAACTTTATATGCCGCACTAAGAAGCCTGAACTTTATTATATAGGCAATGAAGAGATATTTGAGGATTTAAAGAAAACGAGTGATGATGTCAGATGTCGTGATAGATAACATATTTCTCTCTCTCTTTTTTGTTTTTTTTTTTTTTTGAGATGGAGTCTCCCTCTGTCAGCCAGGATTGAGCGAAATGGTGCGATCTCGGCTGATTGCAACCTCTGCCTTCTGGGTTCAAGTGATTCTCCTGCATCCCAAGTAGCTGGGATTACAGGCACAAGCCACCATGCTCAGCTAGTTTTTTTATATTTTTAGTAGAGACAGGGTTTCACCATGTCTGCCAGGCTGGTCACAAACTCCTGACCACAAGTGATACACACACCTCAGCCTCCCAAAGTGCTGGGATTACAGGTATGATCCACCACACTCAGCTGATAGATAATGTTTCTGATTGTGGTGGAAAAATAAATATTTTTTTAATGAGGTAAGACTAGGAGCAAGGAGACCTGTTAGGAGACTTTTGTAATATCCAACTGAGAAATAGTAAAAGCTTAAATCAGGGCAGTGG